TTAGGATTATAAAATTTCCGTCAATAAAAAAGCAAGAATAAGAGTAAATTAATATATTTTTTTATTTTCCTTCTAATTTTAGATATTCACAAAACTTATTTTGGTGAAGCTGGTTTAGCCTCAGCTGCTGGTTTTGCAGCAGCAGGTTTTGCATCAGTAGTAGCTTTTCTGCAAAATTTTAGGTTAGTGTTTCAAACAATTTCTACTTTTAAAACATTGATACTTACCCTGGAGTTTCTTGTAATTTTTGCACACCGACAAGGAAGTCCCTAATAAAAAAATACATAAAAGAATTTCAGCTATTTAAATACGTACTTTAGTAGTTCTATTAAATGTTTAACATCTTTATTCTCCCTAGAAAAATAAAATTTAAGTGTTGAAAACTAGGAGAAAATTATTAAATACTCACAGAGCTTTCTCCAACTTGTCTAAATCCTACAGTAAAACAAAAAGTTTACTTGAAAAAATTAGAATGTTAATTACTTACACTTAAGTCACCAAATTCTACCTTGGGTAGTTTTTGCAGTCCAATGAGGTATTGCCTAATTAAGAAATAAAATTATACAATATAATTTTCTGTTTGATATTTTTGATTATGCATAAAATAAAGATCGTGAAAAAAACATTGTGTTCTATTTATCAAAAAAGGTTCATGCTCGTATTAATGTAAAACAAATAACTGTTTTCTTTAATACGTACCTCAATAAATCAAGCACTTTTTTATACTTTACTTCTGCTCTAAAAAATAAATAATGTAATGTTACCAAACAATGTAATAAATAATACTCACAGTTGTTCTGTTGAACCTTTCAATCCCTAAAGTTAACCAAAAAGTATAAAATTTTAAAACTACAATCAAATTACTTACGAGTATGTTTTGCTAAAACAACAACAAAATTAATTAAATTTGTATATTATTCCAGTTTTACTCACGTCTTTTCGAGCTGCCGCATCGTTATTCTGCAAAGTACAAATTTTATTACTGACTTAATAAATTAATAAATTTCTGCCTATTTTTAAATAAATAATTTAATAATTTTTACCCCATTTTGGATTCTCTCCTCAACTGTATAGCCATTCTGTAAATAAAGAAAAAAAATTCCAATCTAGTTCTAACAACAATTTCAAAAAAATTACTTACTAAGGCCATGCTCATGGATATGGTGAAAACACCGAATAATACAACGAAAAGACAAAACTTCATTTTTAGTTTTCTGATTGAAACTGAATAATTCGCAAATTCTGAAAGCCACTTTTATACAGAAATTTCTGATTACATTTTTTATTACAGTAGGAATTGCATTGTTAAAACATGAATCAAAAAACGACATCAAAAGTTGGATTACAACTCATAATTTTTTAATGTTTAATAATCAAAAAACAATTTACGTTTTTATTTAAAGACATAATAATGCAGTAAAGCAGAGTAACAAAAAATTGGTCTTGTTGGTCCATGAAAATGGAGTGAAGGAAGGCGGATTGAAAAGCAAAAAAAAGCATTGCTCATCTCTAAGTACATGTTTTTATTTAAAATTGAAATAAGAGGTCCTGAAAAACATTAAAAAATACAAATTAACCCACAAAAGTAACAAAAAATAAAAAACATTTTTAATACTTATAAACCTCGTTTTTATTGTTTGAAATTTAAACAGGAAATAAAATATTCAATTTTAAGACAAAAATTTCCTTTGAACATATTTCGAAAAATGCTACTCAAGGGGTGCGTGCGTCTTTTGATAAGTTTTTTCCAACATTTCCAAGATCATTTTAGAAAAAAAAATCAAAATTTAATACAAATGATAACCTTTATACACCTAAACGAGTACAAAGATAAAATGTTGAAATTTGTAATTAGGGGCTTTTTAAACTGGGTCGATTTAGGGTAAAAAGTACTGTAACTATTTTGCCTGTGGTTCCTTACCACTTTCAGCAACAAAATTCTAAATTTTATAGTTTTTAATAAAGTCTTTTGTGTTATTCCGATACAATTTACCAATTTTCAATAAAATTGGTTAAAAATTTGTTACAGACCATAAAAAGCATAAAAATTAAAAACCCCCTAATCGTCTTTGTAAAGAAATGTGAAAAAAATTAAATTCATATAGAATTATGCAAGAAGGTTAACAACCACAGTTATGAGTATGAATTGTGGCTAAATAGTAAAAAATAGTAAAAAAACTGAAGAATTAAAGAAAATATTGCTTTAATTTTGATAGTTCTCAAAATTTGCAAATGACTTTTATTGAAAATTTATGACCTACCGATATTTTATTAAATCAAAAAGACTATAAGAGAAAAATTTAAGTTTAACTCATTTTGTTTGCTTCCCATAAATCCAGTGAAATTTTTTTGTTAGGCTTAAGATTTTTTAATTAGCTTTATTAACTGAACAATCTTATCGATTTTTGACGACTGGAAGAATTAGTACCAAAAAATTTATTAGCTTTTGGACTATTATAACAATTGATTAAATTCTTAAAATTTTAAAATAATAATATAAAAAATATATATCTTGTTCAAAAACTAAAAAAATGCTATTAGTGTAAGTGCTACATGGGAGCGAGCGGCAATGCCGCATAATTTCTACAAAATATTTCTGAATCTGATAAAATTTGACCACAGTTTCTAGGTACATGTACTCAAATTATGTTTTTTCAAAACCATTAATCTTTTTTCAATTAATATACAGAGGTTGTTCTGTAAACATTAGAGTTTTAAGCAGTTTGGATTTAATTAAGTGTAAGGATTATAAATGTCAGTCAATAAAAAAAACAAACGTAAGTCAATATTATTTCTTTATTTTGGTGTAGTTGGTTTACGAAAAGCAGGTTTTTTCAGCAGCGTTTTTCTGTAAATAAGAAACAGCATTACATGAATTTATTACTGTTCCAGTAGGGAAATTTCTGTTAATTTCTAACAAATAATTTAATAATTCTTACCCCATTTAGAAATCACAGAATAATCTTCCGGCGTTGCTGTAAATAAAAACAAATATAATTTTTAGAAACAACAAAATTGATACAAAAACATATTAAAACAGACAAATTTATATTTCTGTTTTAACAGAAGGAGAAATTTCTGTCTTTTCGTAACAAATAATTTAATAATTTTTACCTGCGTAGGTTTTTTCATTCTTTCAGCGAATGCCTCGGTTTTCTGTAAATAAGACAATGTAAAAATAATTTCCAGTAGCAAAAAATTTTGAAAATCTTTTTAAAATTTTTACTTTCAATTTTAAAGACACACGTTACTATTATTCTAGAAGAGAAAGACATATCTGCCTACTACTTATAACAAAATGTTTACATAATTAAAAAAAAAACTTTTTTAAATAATAGGAGCACCTCCATTACGCTAAATTTTAAAGACACACTTCACTACTGTTTTAACATAAAAAGAATTTTTTATCTATTTTTAAGAAATAATTGAATAATTCTTACCCTATTTAGAAGTCTCTCACCAACAAGAACAGTATCCTGCAAATAAAACACATTAAACATAATTTTTAGTAACAAAAAACTATAAAAAAATTAAACTAAAATAGACAAAGTTATTAGTTTTAACAGAAAAATTTGTTTTGGTTTTTTCTCACAAATAATTTAATAATTCTTACCCCTTTAATTCTCTCACCAACTCAATGACCATTCTGTAAATAAGACACAACGTAAAAATAATTTTTTAAATAATAATTTTTACTCTCAGTTTTAACAACACACTTTACTTTTGTTTTAGCAGAAAAAAAACTTTGCCTTTTTATAACAAATAATTTAATAATTCTTACCCCATTTTGGATTCTCTCCTCAGCTGTATAGCCATTCTGAAAAAAAACACAATGTAAATATTAGTTTAAATTTACAAATTAATTACTGTTTTAACGCAAATTGAAATTTCAATCTATTTTTAACAAAAAATTAAAATAAGTTACTTACTAAGGCCATGCTCATGGATATGGTGAAAACACCGAGTAGTACAAAAAAAAGACAAAACTTCATTTTTAGTTCTCTGATTAAAACTGAATAACTTGCAAACTCTGAGATCCATTTTTATACAGAAATATACGATTAATTTTTTTATAACATTACTAATCGCATAGTTATATCAAAAACTGCATCAAAATTTTGCATTAAAAAGTCATAATTTTTTAATGTTTCAGTCTCAAAAATCAATCTAGATTTTTATTTGGAGAAATAATAAAACCATAAAACAAACTAACAAACAAGTTTTAGATCAAAATATGAGTAATAAAATAGTTTTTTTATACAGAATGAACCAAGTTAGATAAAACTGAGAATCTTTTGAATTTCTATTTGGATATTGAAGATGTTTTAATAGTCAAAACAGCTCTCCAACTGAATAACTAAATTTCTCGTTTTAAGTTTTAGTTCTTGAATTCTAAAAGATCAAGAGCTGAAATCTACTTCCAGCTGCTGCATGCCGAATTTTGGCTACCTCAAAAATAAGCATTTTTTAAAATAAATTTCAATACTTCGATCTAATGAAATGCTAGTCTTTTGTTCAAGTTAAAAAATGTATCACAATAATTTATTATGTAATGTACCGTAATGGCGTTGAAAATGTATACATGTTTTTAATAAGAAACTGAAGATATCGTTAGATCCAACCGTGAATGTCAGTTATAGTAATAAAACTATTTAGATTCGTCGTCATTGAGAAACCATCCGAGATTGGTCTCAAACTAGAAAAAACACTTTTGAAAAAATTAACGAAACTGTTAACTATGGCAATGGGATTTGATATCTGAACGTTATTATGGTACATAATGAATTCTTGAGTTACATTTTTTAGCTTGAACAAAGGCCAGAATTTCTTTAGATCATCGGAGATTGCGATGTATTGAAAAGAGACAGCGGTTATTAAAGATTTCGATTGAAATCAAAGTATTTTAATTTATATGTTTTTTTTTTTATAATTGTTTAGTAATGGTACAAGAAATTTGCCAATAAAAGCCACAAATAACATTAAACAGAGTTACAAATTAGTACACAGCTTCCTTGTTTCTTCTTCTAGTAGCCTGTAGCAAAATCTTGGAAAATTATTATTCCAACAAAAACAAATAGAACATTTAAACTTTTATAACTTCGAAATTTTTATAGATAGAATTTTTTAACTTATTTTCCATGTTCTTGATATTTTATCTTACGTGACATTTTTCTCTGGGGTGCGAGTTCTGGCGCAGCCTGTAGTTGTAAAGTTGTATAAAGGCGAAAGAAATTTGCTTTTTAAAAACTGAATACAATGTGATCCCTGTCCATATAGAACGCACTTTTTGCTAAAATCTCGAAGGTAAAATCTAAACTTGGAAGGCAAGAATTCTCCCGAACAATTAAGGAAGAGAATTTACTAACGTCACAGACAATGTTAGAAAATATGAGGACCAAAACATTATTCCGAATATTACGTGTGATGTTCAACTCATTAAAATTATGAAAAGACACGAAGTGTTTGAGAGAAATACTAAAATTGTTTTTATTTTGAGTTAATTTTTTAACTCTGAGCACCATCAAAATTATCTGCAGTGGTGCGAAGAATGACTATATTATTAATGTTTACAGACAAATCCAGATTTGTTTTGGTTTCACATCTGAAAAGCGTAATTCCGAATGTTGTTTGGAAAAACCTCAGAATGTGATGGAAGCAAATTTGAAATGACTATAGACTTGAAATTGTCAGGTAGATGATAATGATATAAAATAAAATATAAAAATATGGAGCGGAGCGGAAAACAGATAAAGTTCAAAAATTTATACAAAAAAAATTGTTCATTATTAATTTCTAATGTGTTGTCGTCCATTTTGTTTCTGAATATGAGAGAAAAATAGTATATTAAGAAACAAGTGTTTCAAACATTCATTGTAATACGAGTAGTTTGTGACTCGAGCAATGCAGTAGCAAGTGTTACAAATGCACGAGTAACAAAACACGCGTTTTTTATACTATTTTTTCTATTGAACTGACAAAATTTACTTCCCTAATCAGCAGCTGTCTATTTGTTTATAATAAAAAATAACATTTTAAACACAAAGTCTCATATGAAATGTTAAATTGGTTGCCTAGTTATAAAATTTTAGGCGGGAACAGATAAAATGAACACCTAATAGCTATTTTCAAAAATTGGAAAGTTTGTTGCTTATAGGAGTACCTCAACTGTGTTTTCCAAAACCTTTTGTTTTTTCCTATTAATATACACTGGTTGTTTTTCAAAATTTATAGTTTTAAGTAGTTCGGA